GTTCCTCCTTGGCTGGGCCTGGCCTATTTCTTCCCTTGAGGCAGCTTTCCAATGGCCTCAGGCTAACTCCCTGCCACCTTCCATCTATCATGTATATAACTTGTATGTGCCTAGTTACTTACATGTTGGTCCCACGTGAGCTACTTGAGGGCACAGACAATTTTTGCCTTTCTTTGCACCCGACGGAGATTAGCATAGGGCCTGGCACACATTGTAAGCCCTTAATAAATGCTTGTTGATTGCTCAATTGCTTACCATTCTTTTGATCATTCAACAGTCTTATATCCTCAAGTTCCCCTCACCAACTGAATGTCTTAAACAGTTAGTTTGAGGCTGCTTGCACCAGGGACCAGATTTACTCATTACAGATCTGAGGAGGCCATGTGAGCAGAAATGGCCCTTCTCTCAACATTCACACTCCCAATCAAGAATCATTCAAAAGTTTTTCTTCTAATGGAACGTAATCATCATGCTTGCTCACCTACCCATCAGGAAGGAAAAAAGCACGGAGATCTATTGCCTATCCTATTGAGATGACAATGTAATACTGAAATCTACTGGGCAGATCCATTGTTTAATGGATCCATTATTTAATGACCCATTTTCTTTGTCCTGTACAGGATGAGGAGGAGGAAATCAAACAAGAAATTAACATGTTGAAGAAATATTCTCATCACAGAAATATTGCTACTTACTATGGAGCTTTTATTAAGAAGAATCCCCCAGGGATGGATGACCAGCTCTGGGTAAGTATCCTTTTCACATTTCATTTTTCTTTTCTTTCTTTTCTCCTTCATCTGGACTTTGACCAATGGACCACATTTGTCCTTGTTCTCAATCTCTGAGAACTATAACCTAGCACCCTCCCAAGACAGATTCTACCTTCTTCTCAGTCCACTTTGCTAGATCATCTTCATCCAGGTCCTGCTGGATAACCAGTATCCCCTAGTGCTTTGTTTTAGGCTCTCTCATCTTCTCCCTCTATACTATTTTGCCTGGTGATCTCATCCGTTCCCATGGATTCATTTCTCATCTTTGTGCAGATGATTCTCAGATCTATTTATCCAGCCCTAACCTATATATATATATATATATATATATATATATATATATTTCATTTATTCATGTGTGGATAGATCATTTTGGCCCCCAACAATGCCTCTTGAGGCACTGTCATCATCATTTGTGATTTTGCATTCCTGGTGCCTAGCAAAGTTCCTGGCACGTTATTAATATATAGTAAATGCTTGTCCAATCTAACTATGGCTTTTATGCTCAGAACTCTTCAGTAGCCACTTTATCAATGAGTATGAATAGACAATTTGTATTAAAATAATTTCATGGTGATGAGTCTCCTTATCCCACCCTTCCCATCCCAGCTTGTTTGTATTGGTATTTGATGGCAAAAAAACAACAACAATAACAAACCTATGATCCTATTTGCTCTAAGGTGTCAATGTCTTTTCTAACATATTGGGAACCAAATTGAACATGAATCTAAATCTAGAAGGCACCTACAGTAAAGACCACATCTAGCCCAACCCTCTCATTTTACATACTGATGAATACCCTCAGGGAAGATATGTTACTTACCCAAGGTCACACTGAAATTAAATGGCAGAATTGGATTTGAACTTAGGTTCTCCTAAAATCCAACCCTCTTTCTATTGTACCACCCTGGGGTACATAATGTAACCATATTTTGCACCCACTCAGAATATCCAGAAATCTGAGGGGTTTGTCCCCTGCCTTCAAACTAAATCAAGTGTCCCCAAGATGATTCTTTGGGGTGAAACTAGAATACTTCCCATGTCACAGCAACTAAGCCATGTTTCTAGTGTCTGATTGAATTATAACCTCGGAGAATTCTATCAGGCTTGTTGCTGAGATAAACACTTGTTTAGCACCAGCTTCTGATAATGGCCAAGTGACTGTCTTTTATCAACTGCTCAGGTCGCAATACGGAAATCAAAAATGGGAGTTCTTTCAATAAAGATTAAAATCTCTCAGAAAGGCGGCGAGCTTCTGACACATAGCATCGCCTTCATGCCTTTCAGTGATTGAGAGGCTCACTTGGGCTGTCCTCCATCGGATAACTCTGTCATTGAGAAGCCAGGGACTGTGAAGTGGACTAATTGCCCTGAAATTAGAAAGCCATGCAATGTGTTAGTGCCTATAATGGTACTATCATGTTTTTAAGAGGAATTACAAGTCTGAATCGCTTCTGAAGACCCAGGAGACCAAGCAAGGTACTCTGCTGGTCACACTCAAACTGAGCAAAACAGGTTTGAACATTGATTGTAGCTTCTCACTTTGTATCATAGCTAGAGAAGCCATGATCTAAACTGAGACATTGGGAACCACACCATTGTTTGATTTAATTAAGGTAGCCCATCCCTCTCAACAGGTAAGGAAGAGGAAGGAAGGAAAGAAGAAAGAGAAAAAGGAAGGAAAAAGAAAGAAAGATAAAGGAAGGAAGGAAGGAAGGAAGCCTTAGAGCTCTCTATGTCACTAGTAGGTGACTGAGTATGGGGTGTAGAGCAAGAGACATTTATTGAATATTTTATTATAATAATTTATGGCACGAATGTAGGGCAAGAGACATTTATTGATTACCTATTATATTCAAGCGTCTGGACAAGCTATAATCTCTCTATCACAAGAAAAGAAGAAAAAAATAAACGGAAAGATTCTCTATGAAGTCATTTTAAAAGATTATATTTTGGGGTACTATATTAATAAATGTTTGTTGATTGGTTAATCCATTCCTTATGAGACATGTCCTTGTTGACTTAACTCAGCTGTGTTTGGCAGCTTGATTCTATTTGCTCATGGAATCAGGTACCTGTAGTGAGAGAAGCTCCCTACCATGTGGGTTGCATGATAATTATCAGGACTGCTGTGTAACTGGGGTCACCAATCACCAGCAAACAAGGTGTTTTGTATTGGTGGGGTTTTATGGCTATTACATAATTTAATGATCATTTTGTTCCATAGGAAGATGAAAAGAATGCAGTTGGCTCTAGCCAGAGATGAGTGTGGGGGTCATAAATGTCTGAAATCAGTGGCATTAGAGCATGGCCAGAGGGCAATCGTTCCCCACAGTCTATTGGCGAGTTTGTCCACTATCATTTTAAAAGACGGGGAGGCCTGGGGTTTCCATTGCTTCCCTTGGGAAGCTGTAATCCCACAGTGTAATAGGGCTCAGGGGTGGCAAATTTTCCCCAGCTTGGTACCAGAGTAATGACTGGATTTGCAGGTCTTGGAATATTTAAGTTATTTTTGTAAATAGGGTTTGGAGAAGGAGAAAAGAAAAAAAACGTGCCAAACAAAAAAAAATTAAACTAATGATATTTCTCTTGGGTTTCCTTGTATTTGAAGCAGATACCTGTACTTTTGTTCAAATTCAAGCACATCATCTACATGAAGCTTAGCCTTATTCTTCCCCTGATGCTCCCAGTCTTGAACAATTCCTTTAATCAACTTGGGCCTCAGTTTCCTCATCTGTAAAATGAAGAAGTGGCACTAGTTGACCACCCAGGTTCTTTGCCACTCTGGAGCTGTGATCTGATAACCATGTGATCCTAATCTCCCTGGGCTTCAGTTTCCATATCTGTAAAATGAAGGAGTTAGACTAGATAGCCTCTTAATCCCTTTCCAACTTCAGATCTTTGATCCCATGATCTTCTGATCGTGACCTTGCTCGTAATGCCCCCCCCAGTTATATTATATTTATTTTACATACTTATATATGTAATAATATCTCCCTCTTAGAATTTTACTTCCCTTGATAACAGCCATTTATTTTGATTTTGAATTCCCAGAATTTATCCCCATCCCTGGCACATAGTTGTCTAAAAGTCAGTCAACAGAAATGTATTAAGTACATCCTGTAGGCCGGGCATGGTGCTAAACATGGGGAACAGAGAAATTGGTGAAAACTTGACATTTAATAAATTCTTGTAGATAGACTGATGGTGCCAAAGTTCCAAAGCTCTCCCCTGGTCACAGGCCAACAGATTCCACCTCTGCCGATGCCAACAGTCAGGAACCTATAATTTAATGAGGTCGACGTGAATCAACAGAGATCATTTTGGCCAGATTGTTTTTTGTCTGTCCCCAGCAGGAGGTCGGGGAGTGGTTTCTGGTTAAGTTGGGTTAAATTTTGCCCAACACTTTCACTTATCTGGGAAAGATATTGTATAAAGTTTTTACCATGGAATTTGTTTAAAGAGATGGAGGGAAGATTAGGGAGAGAGGGAGGTCATTCTATACATGGGCAATGAACAGAAAAGTTCAGACTTGGCAATTTTCATCTTGTCCTGTCTCCTTTTTGTCCTCTTTAAAGTAAGGAGTGTGCCTCATGCCTACTCCGCAAAGTTGTTGGGCAGTGTGATGAGTTGATATTTATAGAGCTTGGAGCTTTGGGGATGAAAGGTGCTAAATAAGGGTTTATTGTTTATTGAATTTATTTGATGTATCCAACCTCCTGGGAACTTTTACTGAAGTTAATTAAAAACAGATAGTCCCTGCCCAGAAAGCTTACAATGTCACTTGAAAACCCCTAAAGTAAATGCATTGTTATATTTTTGTTACTTGGGATGGCACCAGGAGCTGTGGCCCCACGCCAATTGGTGATCTCCCCCATCCAATGGTACAGAATCCAGCTTAAGATTTTCAGAAAGAATGTGGTGCTGCAAGCAACGGAGCATGTCCTTGAAGTCTTCCCACCTCCTTTTCCTATTTGGGCAGTGAATATTATCTTCCATTTCTGATGATAATTTTGAGGTTGGAAATTTTAAAAATTTCCTTCCTTGCTATTTTTGGCCAGTAACTCCTTCCACCTTAGAAGCTGGAATTTCCTCTGGTCCATATTGTTTAATGATCACTTTCCCTCTCAAGAATGGCACTCCAAGGTGGAGGGCTGAAGGGTCCGCCATTGTGCTCAACCAAGCCCACAGATGCTTCGTACCCAAATTATACTAATTGTGCCTTTGCATCCTTCCTTTGCCAGCTGGTGATGGAATTCTGTGGTGCGGGCTCTGTCACAGATCTGATCAAGAATACAAAAGGCAACACATTGAAGGAGGAGTGGATCGCGTACATCTGCCGGGAGATCTTACGGGTAAGAGTCACATGGGGGCCTGCTCCTACTTCCTGATGCCATCAACAAGAGACAACCTGGGGAGAGAGGCACAGATGGCAGATGTTCCCAGCCTTTGAGGCTGCTAACTCTGTTGGTAATGATGGCATCTGGGAATGTTCGCTCCAATGGGAGTGAGTAGGATTCTAGACAGGTCAAAGATGTATGAAACCATTCTGGGTCTTAATTTATGATTATATCTGGTATTCATTGATAGAGTGTCATATAGTTTGCAAAGCACTGCTCATACATTGTCTCATTCAGACCTCATCGAAGCCCCCTGAAGTAGTCATTATAGGTTAATCTTAATCGCTTATTTCCAGAAAGCCAGACAGCATGATACAGTGTCCCACCCCTGACACTGATTGGGTCATCCTGGACAAGTCACTTAATCCCTCAGGGGACTCTTTAAGGCTACAGATTATAGAGAAGGTGCCAACCTGGATCAGTAGAAAATAGTTTCCTCATCTGGGAGTTCCCTATGCCAGCTAAATCACCAGTCCTCCATTTTCCTACACATTCTCTGATCTACTCTCCCAGCTACAGCCAGGACCTGAAAAGATTATCTATTGATGTTCATAATTGGGCTGATACCTTGTCAGATAAAAGAATTGCAAGAGGTAGCTCCATGGTTAGTGGAAAGAGGTCTGGGCCTGGAATCAAGAAGACTTTAGTTCAAATCTGGCCTCAGACACTGTGTGACCTTGGACAAGTCACTTAACCTCTGTCTCCCTCAGTTTCTTCAACTGTGAAATGGAGATATTATTAACATATAATATTCCCCATAGTTATGGGGATTAAATGAGATAATATTTGCAAAGCACTTAGCACAGGTCTGGTATGTTTTAAGTGCTTAATAAATGTTTATTTCCTTACTTCTTACTATTAAAAAATCTTGAACAAGGAAATTTTTGAGAGAATTAGATACCCTCATTTGTTGTAATTTTGGGGGGATAAAAATGTCTGATTTTCCAACTTTGTTCCCTTAGCATGGCTTCCAACCATCATTTTTAAAAACATCTCCAACCCCTCCCATATGTACCAAAATATTCATAAATGAGTTGCTAGTTTATCAATGGAAGGAAGTTTCCATGCTGGGAGCTTGCCATAGTGATTAAAGATAGGTCTGGAAGAGCAAACTTTCTAAATACACTTAGATGGGGTAAAGCTGTACCTTCCACTTTAAAAGTTACATTTTATGCATTGGCAAGTTTGATAGTAATCATGAAGTACTTGAGTTAGTGATCATTTAATTAATGAGCCCAAACAAAGTGCATCTTCCATTGTGAGATGTAACTGTGTACCAGAGAGCCATGAGCGTTCTAAATTGGCTCATCCTGATCTCTGTCCAAAAGGTGACATGTTGAGCACTAATGATGATTGCAAACTGAAGCTAATATATGAAATTTCATATTTTTATATGCTGCTGGTTTGCCAAAAAAAATCAATGAGAGACATGTGGCTATCAGAAAGAAAATCCATATCCCTGGGATCCTCTAGCCTCTGAGAACTAAAAGTCAGAATAATCCAATGGAGAAATGGAACACCTCTGAGTTTAATTGTCACTGAGTAATTGTCTCTGGTTGATAATGAACACAGGGTCACATATGAAAGGAAGCACTAAAAATGACAGTAATAAATGCCAGCAATGGAAATAGAATGTCTCTGCCTTGCCCTGCCTCATCCTCGCTCCTCGCCTCTCTCAGCCCTCCCCTCTTTTCTCTTTTCTTTTCCTTTTCTCCTTCGTTTTCTGCTCCTCTCTCCCTCCCTACTTCCTTCCCCTCTCCTCCTCACCTCACCTTGTCTTGCCTTTCCCAAATCCTCTTAATTATAGTGCCTTTCCTCTTATAATTATTTCTTATTTATCCTGTATGTCATTTGTTTGTACCTTATTGTTTGCTTAGATTGTAAACTTCTTGAAGGCTTTTGCCTCTTTTTGTATTTCCAGACTTTAGTACAATGTCTGGCACATAGTAGGCCCTTAATGTATATTGACTGACAATTATCAGGGGCAGAGCATGAGAAAGGACAATGGCCTTGACTTGCTAGTTTTGTGACCTTGAACATGTCACCTCTCCTTGAAGCCTTTGTTCATTTTTTTCAACCCCCAAATGTAGGGGAGATGTGTGTTATCATCATTATTTTATTTGAGTCAGAAACTATAAAAAAAAAATAACCAGACAAAACGTATCACTTGATTTCTGGTAGATTTAGAGCTAGACTTTTGAGGTTGTCTCATTTTATTATTGAAGAAGCTTGGTGCTAAGGAGGTGGTGACCTCCCCAACATCGTACGACTAGGAGGAGGAGGGAGCTAAGCCCGGATTTGCTGGAATCAGGTACTCTCTCCCACGTACTGTATGCTGCCTCAGAGAATAGAGGGTAAAACACAACTCAAATAGGTGAGAGTGAATTAACTGAAACAGGAAGTCAGTGGGCTAGAATGTTTCATCTGAACTCGACCTACATTCCCCACAGGCAGAGAAGGAAAGGTTACCTTACCAAGTAGTAAATCCTGTTCACTTTCATGATTGTCCCATAACTTAAAACATCACTCTGAACGTATGAAAGATTTGTGTGTAATCAGCCCTCTGGGCACATCTGGGCCTGCCTGGTTTTTTTTTAACATTTTTATTTTTGCTCATAGCATGCTTATTGGAAAAGGGGGTAGGGAGATGATTTATTTGTAATTGGGGGCCCGCTCCCATTTACCCTTCCTGACTCTCCATCTCTCCAGGGCCTGAGTCACCTGCATCAACACAAAGTGATTCATCGTGACATTAAAGGGCAGAATGTCTTGCTGACTGAGAATGCCGAAGTAAAACTAGGTAAGTCGTTGCTGCTCAAACTCTTAGAATAGGCGAGGAAAAGCAGACTCAGCCAAGCCCGGGAACTAGCAGGAATTTGATAGACGTCATGTCAGGCCAACAGCTGAGTTTCTTTCTGTAACAATTGTGAATTTGAGGCCCACGGCTTGGAGTTCACAGTTCTAAGAATAGAAGTGGGATTGACAATTTTTCTTTGTTTATTTTATCAGGGCTGTTAGTCGTACACTTGAAATGCCTAAAATTGCCTCCAAATTGGGGAGGAGCCACCAACTGTTCTGTAATGACATCCACTTGAGGAGGTTGAGGGAGTGATGAGGGCATGGGTTTGTGTGAAAGTCGGCTATGTTGTTGCAGGGGGCCTGAACTGGAGATCACTGCATACTTCCTGCACCTGGCAAGGGTGGGAGCCTTCTGTAATGAAATCCAGTTCTTCTTCTGAAAGCGCTCCCAGTTGGGCATTTTCAGAATTGTGGATGCTGCAGATTCGTCTGTTTTATCTCCTTGTCTTCACATGAATGTTGATTTCATTATGCCTTGTACACCACCTGCCAGAAGAATGCTTGGTTCCAGACATGAGCAGCTCTCCTGTTTCTCTGACGATTGATGGAGGCAGATTTTTGATATTGCTTTTGGGAAGAGATAATTAAACTTTAAAAGAATCACTTCATCCTGCCAACCTTGTGTTTTGGAGAATATTTTAATCTTTTTTATCCCCATCTCTATCCCTATCCCTATCTCTGTCCCTATCTTTATCCCAGTGTCTGTCCCAGTCTTTCTCCCTATCCCTATCCCTGTTTCTATCTCCATCCCAATTTCTGTTTCTATCTCTATCCCTATCTCCATATCCCTATTTCTCTTTCTATCCCTATCCCTCTCTCTATCCCTATCCATATCTCTGTCTCTATCCTATCCCTATCCCTCTATCTATCCCCATCCCTGTCTCTATCCTATCCCTATCCTTATCTCATTCCCTATCTCTTTCTCTCCTTTCCCTGCTCCCCAATTTCAGAATCTTAGAGCATCACCTGGGGGCATTGAATAGTTGAGTACCACACCCAAAGTCACACAGCTAGTCAGTACATCTTGGAACTGTTACCTTCATAGGTACTCTTTTATTTATTGTCCATTAGAGCAACTTTTCCAAGGCTATTCTATGGATTAAATCTTACATCCCAGAAGCCATCTGTTTTCCATTCCTTTCAATTCAACTCAATCAATATCCCTTAATCATCTAATGGGCAAGGCACTGTGCTAGGCACTGGGGATCTCCACTCTCCTGTTACCCCTAACCCCCCAAGAGTGGAGAGATACAATAAACACATGGTTACAAAGCACTGGTGGACACAGCGTGGCCATAGATGAGTCAATGCAGCATCACAACACCTCACTCTGGCTGTCCCACAACCCTATCCCTGAAATGCACTCTCTTCTCATTTTTACCTATGAAAATCTGTAGCTTCCTTCAGGGCTCAGGTGCCACCTCCTACCAGAAGACTTTCCTGAACCCCTTAATTGTTAGTGTTCTTTGCCTCCTCCAATTAGATTGTAGGGAGTTTATCTGTGTACATATTTTATCCTATTCCCACCTAATCTCTTCCCTTTCCTCTCTTCCTCCTCCATGGAATATAAGGTCCTTGAAAAAAGGAGCCACATCTCCTTTTCCTTTGTGTCTCCAGCACCTAGGGCAGTGCCCTGGACCCAGTAGATGGTTAAAAATGTTTATGAATTTGCTAAATTGACTTTCACAGCACACACACAAAAGCTCTGAGCCCAGGCTATTGGATATACCAGGAGGCATATCATGGTACCATAGAAAGAGCCCTAGCTTTGAAGGCATGAAGTCCAGATGACTAGTTCTGCTCTGAGTAAGTCTGTGACCTTATGCAAATGATTTCTCCTTTCTGTGCCTCATTTTTTTTGATCACAGAACGAAGGGGTCAAGTTAGAAACCAACTCCAGTTTTCTATGATTTTAGTAGAGATGTCCCCAGAAGTATCTTTGTTCTCTATCAATTCCCACTAAGTTAGCATGATATGTTCAATTGAAGAGTTTATTTTAAAATCTCCAATTCATTTCGACCAACATTTATTAAGCTATTTCAATTTGTAAGGCAATGTGTTGGACACTGGTTATATGACGATAAAAATAACATAGTCCCATTAGGACATAAACTTCTTCAATAGAGTGTAAGCTACATGAAGGCAAGAAGTGACTTTTAACTTTTTCTTTATATCCTCAGCTTGTAGTACAGTACCTGGCACATAGCAAACTGTTAAGAAACACTTGTTGGCTTTTGACTAACTGCCCTGCACTTAAGGAGTCTTACTGGGGAGCAAAATGCTACACATAGAGAACATATCGAATCATTAAGATATTTTTATATATTTAAAAATTGAGATACAAAAGAAATATTATACTGTCACTTCCCCCAAAGCATCCCTAGGAATCTTCAGAAGTTATAAAAACAAGCACAGAATTGTTTTCTAGACGATTCTACTCTTTATACAATACCTGTGTTCCTGTTGCTGAACCACTTACTCCCCCCACCACTTTTGGGAAGCAACCCTGCATTGCCTGGGTGGAATTTTGGTTTCATCTCTGTGTTTGTGTTTGATCTGGATCCCAGAAAGGGTCTGTTAACAAAAAATACATTGATATTTTTATTTGTTTGAGTCTGTGATTTCCTCAGTGGGAGGAACTCCCGATATGGAAACTCCCTCCACTGATGCAGGTCTACAACTCACTGGAAATTATAGCCTTAGAGTCTGTACTCTTAACAAGTGAAGGGACTTGGCCAGCATTACACTCACAGTACATGTCAAAGGTAGGACCAGTACTTGGATACATACCATAATTTCAGGATTGAGAGTCTAGTAGCTAGAAGGGACATCAAGGCTGGCCTGCTCACTGTGTTACCCTGACTCTTCACAAATGCCCTTATTAAACGTAGGTTGTTTTGTCTGCCATTTTTTGATGCAAGCACCCAGGATTGCTCCCCTCTGTTGTTGATAAGGTACTTCCAGGACAAACCAAAGATTAAGAATATCTTTGATTTTCAGGCTATATGCCTAAGCAAACTAGTAAGAACACAACATGATGCTATTTTCCCATGAAGTGTCCATCTTGAGACTGCCATTTTATTATTGTGTCCAAATGGATTGTAAGGTTTCATGCTTAATATGTATGTGTCTGTGCTTCCTTACCCAGTGGATTTTGGCGTCAGTGCCCAGTTAGACCGAACAGTAGGTCGAAGAAATACATTCATTGGCACGCCCTACTGGATGGCCCCAGAAGTTATTGCCTGTGATGAGAATCCTGATGCCACCTATGACTTCAAGGTATGAGTTCTTCACTACATTGTTTTCAGAGTCAAACCAAACCTCCCGTTCTAGGTCTTTCGGTGGGAGGATCCTCTTGTGTCTTTGAGTGTATAGTATATTTATTCAGTCAACATTTATTAAGCACCTGTATACTGCATATAGGTATATAGGCATATAGGGTATATATACTGTATGCTGGATATAGGATAGTTCCATGAGTAAGAGGGAGAAATAAAATAATAATCATGGGATGCTCAACTGGACTTAATACATCAGGACTTCAATGAATCCATGGATGTCATCAGTGTGGGTATGTCCTGCCATAGAATAGAACACAATAAGACTTTGTCATTCTTTGTGACTCTGGGCTATGTCCTCTGGTATATCCTTCAAAGAAAATCTGCCCAGAATTTCAGAGACCTTCTAGGTTAGTGTTTTTCCTTCCTTCCTTCCTTCCTTCCTTCCTTCCTTCCTTCCTTCCTTCCTTCCTTCCTTTCTCTCTCTCCCTCCCACCTTTCTTTCTTCCTTCCTTCCTTTCTTTTTCTATTTCTTTCTTTCTTTCTTTCCTTCCTTCCTAACTTCCTAGCTTCCTTTCTTCTTTCTTCTATTTTTCTTTCCCTCCCTCCTTTCTTCCTCATAATATGGGTACCAGAGGATAGAATATTGGACCTGGAATCAGGAAGACCTGAGCTCAATCTGGCCTTAGACATTTTTCAGCTGTGTGACCCTGGGCAAGTCACTTGACATCCATCTACTTCAGTTTCCTCATCTGTAAATTGAGGGTCATAATAACAACTACTTCTCAGGGTTGTTGTGAGGATCAAATCAGATAATATTTGTCAAGCACTTTTCAAATTTTAAACTGTTATATAAAGATACTACTACTACTACTACTACTACTACTACCACTACTACTGCTGCTGCTACTGCTACTACCACCGCCACCCAGGCTATCCATCTGTTATTTTTCATTCTTGGCTCCATTCATACAGATATCTGTCATGTTACTTTTTGCTCATGTCTTCATTTGGAAGGCGTTGTAATTCATTGGTGTATGCCAAGGATATGTCTCTCCATTGACCTCCTTTTTTGGGCTCTTCAGAAATTGTTGGGCACCATGATTACTGACCTCACACTTGGTTGTTGTGGGGCTCAAATGATACGGTGTACGCAAAATGTAGTTTGTTAACATTTGGATGTTACACACATGTTGTTGTTGTTGTTATTCACAAGGTTATAGCCAAACCAGGGTAATATATTTGAAGACGTCCATGTGTATTTTTAAAATCACCCATAATATTTGATTGTTTCTTTAGAAAAATTCTTTAAACATTTCTGGCTTGTCTTTGCTGTCTACTCAATCTAGCTTTTGCTCTGTCCTCATAGCATCGAAAAACATGTTTCCATTTCACTTATCATTCATATTTATGGCAGACAATCTTGGCAGTTTTTTCCTTTCTTTTCATATTCACTTTATACTAAATTATGAATTCATTGTCTTCTGTCATCTCCCAACCTAAAATAGTCAGCTTCAAGCATCCTTAGTATTATATAAAGTCTCATTGCTAAGGGCCTTATTATCGAGTTACTTTTCGTAGAGGAGAGATAGGGTGTGAGCAGCTTCCATGTGGCTCTAAAAGCACGTTGCATATTGGAGTGGTCAGTTGAAATCCAGTGAGCCTCTCTTGGCTTCATGCTACAAACTGAGAAGCAGCTAATAATAGTCTCCCAGTATCCACATAGAAGAATGAGATCGGCCACCTTCACCCAAAGGATGTGAAAAAGGACAGTTTTTTTGTGTGTGCTTCTTCTGTCTCTCGAACCTGATTGCCTAGGCACCAGTTAAATAGTCTTGGATGTCTCCAGCATTGTTTACCACCATGAATAGCAATAGGGTTTGGTGACGTTGTGTTTAGATGTGGGTGGAAGGTCACCTAGCAAATCTGGGGCCAGTGGAATCCAGGAGACCTGCTTCTCCCCAACAGTTTTCTCATGGCAGTAGAAACTGTTGGGGAGGCAGGCCATATGGTCTTTGTACTGCTCACTCAATAACCTTGGACAAAACATTCAGCTTTCTTTGTAGACTTCATGTTGTTGTTCCTATTTAGTCATTTTCAGTCATGTCTAACTCTTTGTGACCCTTTTTGGGGTTTTCTTTGCAAAGATACTGGAGTGGTTTGCCTTGTCTTTCTCCAGTTCATTTTACAAATGAGTAAACTGAGGCAAACGGTGTTTTGTGACTTGCCCAGCATCACATAGCTAGTGTCTGAGAACAGATTTGAACTCAGGAGGAGGAATTTTCCTGACTCTAAGCCTGATACTCTGTAGAATGGTAGAATTCAGTTTAATTAAATGAGAATTTATTAAATACCCACTGTTCTAGGCACTGTGGATACAACACCCTGAACCAGCTCCCAATCTGGTCAGGGAATACCACACGTACACAGATAAATAACTACCAAGTTACACAAAATAATTTTGGGGCAGACATTGAAGAGCAGTAACAACTGAGATCATTAAGAGTGACCTGATATAGGAAGGGGTCACCTGAGATACAAGCTAAGGATTCAGAGAAGCAGAGGTGAGGTTAACTCAGAAAGGACCTTATGGCTCATCCAATTAATCCCTCTCATTTTATACTTAATCTTGGAAAATAGCATCACTCCCTGCCTATTTTACAGGTGAAGAAACTGAGTCCTAGAACTTGTGTTCTCTGTTGTTTACTGGGAAAAATTAAAAGGTTATGGGGACCTTGGAAGTCATTATCATTAAATTATGGACCTTAGAGTTCATTGCCCTTAATGAGGTCCAGAGATGTTACGTGACTTAATTCGGGTTGCAAAACCGTTATGTATTAGAGACAGAACTACAACCCTGATCTTCCGTGCATTGTGAAACACTGTAATCACTTGCCTGCCTTAAAAACTGGTCCTGAAAACACTCAGTTAGCTGTCCCCATGACAAGTATGAAATCAGAATAAGGCATCATCATTATTTAAATTGGGTCAGGAAAACACAAGCTTCTCAGTCTTCGTGACGTGTCTCTCAGGGCAGTTAGGAAACCAGGAATCTGTCTTTGGAGGAAAACAAGCTGGAAAGGCCACCCTATACTTCATTTTAAGTGTCCTGCTTCCTTCAAATTTAGTCAATAGGAGAATTTTACAAGGGTCTATTGGAAAACAGTGGTATGATGTAAAATTCATCTCTTGCCGAAACAAATGAGGTTTCTTTAAACCACTAAGGAGAAGCAGTGGCTCAGTTATTTAAACCGTAAATCCCTCTCAAGTGTCTTAATTCTCACCCAGGATCCAGGTTCTAAGTTGTACCTCCTTTAGGGATATGTCACCATTCTTCTAGCAATGACATGTTCAGCAGTGAGTAGTGGCTGTCAATCTGTGTTGGCATTGTGTAGAAGAGCCAACAGAATCCCCTGGGAGGCTGTAGGTCAGCTAAACAGAGCCTTTCAGCCTTTCCAAAGTGCAGAAGGCTGCAGCCTCTGGAGTGAGCATTTTGTGACTTCTCAATCCAGTAGAGAATCGCCCCCACCAAAAACAAGTTCCTTTTGGACAAGTTCAGTAGAGATGGTAAAGGAGATGAGATCGTAAAGGGCAAGAGAGCGGCAGAGTAGGAAAGGATGGCCTTGGTTCCAGTCGCTCACAGATGACTTGAAACCATCTTAACTCTTAAGAATTCTTTGTTACATCATTGCATTGTCAAAGGGAAAACGTCCAGGATGGTGACAGACTGTGAATCCATGGCAAATGAAAATTAATTGAAAGTTCTGGTGCTGTACAGAGTTAGCTAGGCACCATGTAGATAGTGTGCTGGGCCTGGAGTCAGGAAGGCCTGAGTTCCAATCAAACCTCAGACACCTACTAGCTGTGTGACCCTGGGCAAATCGTTTAATTGCTGCCTGCCTCAGTTTCCTCATCTGTAAAATGGAGATAATAATTGTTTCTTGCTCATAGGGTTGGGAAAACACAAAACTTTATCTACATATTAGATATAATAACAGTGATCATCGTAATTTTATTAATATTTCCATTCACTTCTTGGCAGGAGCATTCTATTATGCTCTCAGAGGCTCTCTCATAGGGTTGGCCCTCCATGGGCTAGAACAAGGTCCTCAGTGGGGATGGAGGCTTCTTCAGTGACCCCTTATTTTGGCCCTCCCAAAGTCCCTTGCTGTACTTTCTCGCCTTATTTGTTAAGAGGGGGTTTTCTGAGTCACACATAACTGGAAATCTCTTGGTCATTTCCTGGAGCCTCTATAGCCAAAGGCCTTTCCTTTGAAGTCATGACAAGGTGTAATTTACAATTCGGGGTCTCAGTGGGGGTGGGACATGATGAGGCTCTTGAAGGATTTGGACAAAGTATCTCTCAAGATCGAAACAATGCCAAGATTTCATAAGGCAGTAAAGCCTCTGGAGGCTTCATCCTTGGAGGATAAGTAAAGCCATTGGCCAAGCTCATGGTTATTTATTGAAAGCAGGCAGCGCCTGCTATAGAGAGGGGATCACAAACAGCCCACCCCCAGTCTACCCTATTATCAGGCAATAACATGAAAAATCTCATTTGTCTGGTGTGCTCGTTTTCCCCTAGAGGTCCTTCTCTTTCTCATTTCCTGACAGCCTGTCAAAACACTTCAAGTCAACGGAAAGGTTTCATTTCCCTGATAAGTATGTGGGACAAAAATGAAAGCTTTCCCTTTTGATGATAAATGTTCAAAAGAATCTAAATTAATAATAAAAAACAGTTCACAATTCAATTCTGAGGCTGCTTTATTTTGGTGTGTGTTTATGTATTTTTAAATTTTGTATTTTATTTTATCAGGATCCTAGATCCTGAGGTGGTAGGGACCTCAAGGCAATCTAGGCTAACCCCATCATTTTACAAATGAAGAAACTGAGGCTTAGGGCAGGAAGAGATTTTTCCAAGGTCACATGAGGTTGTGAGCATCAGAGACAGGATTTGAATACAAATCCTCTGACCCCGGAGCCAGTGCTTTTTCTGGTGTA